TAGAGGGGTAGGAGTAAAAGCTGGGGAATTACATTTGCTGACCTACTTGCAGGGTTAGCCTGAGTGCATTGATTTGCCTTCTTTCCCTTGGAAAGATTAGAAGTCACATCCTCCTGGAACCACCAGCGCCTGTCAGGTGTTTGGTGCAGTCCTGACTCATTGGGTGAAAGGGGAGGGGAGCAGTAGTTAGGTCAGTCTGGAGGGAGGGGGAATGTTCTGGACAGGTTTTTCTCTTTCTTCTCCTTGTTATGTAAGATGTGGTTCCCCAAAGGAACAATGTATTTGCATAATACATATGAGGCCCCAACCCACAGAAGCATATTTTAACCCCCAGTGTTGCTGACTAATCAGTTCTTAAGGGAGGTAGGTTTGAGGGTAACCTAAATGGTGCAAGGTAGAGTTGTCACTTAACAAGGCAGGGTATGCACTGGTAGGGGCAGGCGGGTAGAAAGATGGATAAGTGGTCCTGCCCCAAAGAGCTCACACTGTGATTAGGAGAGATGGACACATGTTTAACTAACGTGTGCAGTGACAGTGGTGGGCAGCCTGGTCAGACCAGAGAAGAACAGACATTTTAGTTCTCAGTGAGAAAACCCAGAAGGTTGTGGAAGATGTAGCAGCTGGTCCTTGAAGGATGTTAGGGCATTAGGTGAGAAAAAGGCTGAGGGAAAGGCTCAGGGTGATTGGCTACAGGGCAAAATCAGGAATAGCAGAAGCTGCAGCGAGCTGTGGTAGGAAGCAGGGGCACAGGTGCAGAGTGGGCCTTTCCGAGGGGCTCTAATCACCTCCATAGAACGTTACTGCCCGTATTCTTGATGTTGAATTACATACAGCAAGTGATTTTCAAAAGTCCATTTATTTTCAAGCAAATGTGGCTTTGCCTTAGACTAAAGAATTATTTTATATATGTAGTTCATTCCATGAAAAATAAGAAAGTGATTAATTGCAAAACTATATTTATATTTAACTTTCTGGAGATTTGTCAAAGAGCACACAAGAGGTTTTTAATAGCTTCATGTTCCATTTCATATTTGGTCCATTTTCTAACTCTGTATCTTATTAGGGAGAAAAGCATGCAAAGCCTCACGTTGTCACCAAGGATACCAAGTCTGCGGGCTCTAATCTGGGGTTAGGAGGAGGAATACAGGGAAAGATAAAGAAAAGATCCCTAACAAGGGTCAGCCCAGGCACAATTCCAAAGGCCAAGGAACGTAGTCCGTGCGTGTTTGAGTATCTGGGTTGCATCTGTGCAGGCTGAGCAACCTTAATCTGAAAACCTGATGAAGTACTCCAACACCCCAAAACCTTTTGGTTTTTCAATACATTTTGGATTTTAGATTTTCAGATTAGGGGTGACACGCCTGGTAAATCCTACGAAAATATTCCAAAATCTAAAAAATGCTGAAATCTGCAACATTCCTGTTCCCAAGCATTTCAGAGAAGGGTACTCAATTGTATAGACTTCTTCAGTTGGGGGACCCTAGAGTGAAGACCTGTGAGAAATCAGCTATGTCCCAGACTTAGGGGGTTTACACTGATTTATGTCAACTGGACAGGAGGCTGAAAGGAGTTCAGTCCTTTATTGAGCTGTTGGTTGAGCCAAGCATTTGTCCGCATTTCCATCTTCACTTTAATTTTTCTTGGTAAAGAGTTGACACAGAAAACTCATGGACAGAGTCTTTTGAGTTCCTGAAATTTCAGGTCATTTGTAAGTCACTCATAAGTAGCAATACACCATACATATGAAATATATTACAAAACATACAGTGAGGTACTTTACGAAATTGCTTTTGGAATATTACAAGGTATTTATTACTGTTTAAGTCCATTTATCATTTTGCTTGGTTGAACATTGTGCTCCTGAAGACTGCCACCTGTGTAGACTCATTTCGAGAAAGACACAAGGGGGTCGTACCTGGGGAGAGGTCTCATCTTACTCTTAAAAATACTAGCCCTGCTCCTGATGGGAGGATCTTTTGAGGACGCATCATGGTGTCTCTCACCCTATGTCTTAGAGCCACATGAGTGAAGAAAAGACCAAAACAATAATATGGAGGACTCTGAATCTTTTTACACATTTCTACCCCACTATCTCTTGTTTTCAAGGAGATGGCTTCTCAGTTGTAAGTTTATCTCTGTGGAATACAACAAATAATATAGCAGAGTTATCAACAATAGAAACATACACAAAACTATTCATAAAACTTGAAATCTGGTGAGCGATAAGGAATGGCATGATAAATTACAAAACAACACCAAATAGCATATTACACTTGTTGCCTTATAATGAGGAACACTATATAGAGACATGAAAACATCCTTAGATATAATTAGAAGAGACAAGAAAAACAGATGTATAATAGGGAAGCTGTATGTGAAGGTGGAGGAGGCATGAGAAATACAATATCAAAAGAAAATATTAGGGTACTTCTAAAAGTTCTTGGAAAAATGGAAGCAAAAGGTAAGTTTATTTTGATGTGAAAATTTTCAAAATCCATGCATTGTTTTTTTCTCCATAATATGTATTTTCTATAGACTTTTGGAGAGCCCTGATATGCATGGGTTTGAAGATTTTTTTGCCTGGAAATAAATCCATTTTTAAATTCTATTTTCTATGATGTATCTTATATAGTAGTTCTGTTAGTATAACTGGATTGTGAATTTTCAAAAAATTTTTATGTGACAAAATATAGTAGTGGCAACAATAGTGAATTCAACAAATAAATGATACTGTGGGTGCAGATGGTATGTATTAATAATAAGTAGAGATTGAGCTTTACAAAAGGGAAAAATCATTTAAAAGGATGAGCCTGCCTTTCCTATGTTTGCCAGTCAAATGGATATTAAATTAGATAATATCAAAACTTCTGCAAAGGCAATGGTTAACAGGGATTGGAGGAACCTGAACTGACCAGGTCAGGATTTGGTTTGTCAGCATGATTGCAGTGGAAAATAAACCTTGAAACACTTGTCTAATATGCACCAGCTTGGATATCTTGACTGAATTCACATGTAGTAATCAAGACACAGTTTGGAAAAAGAACACAGGCTAATAAATAGAATGGAGAGCAACAGAAAGTCAACAGAGAAATTTCAAAAATAAAATGCCTACTTAAAATCAAGTAGAAATGATTATTTGGATTAATAGCAAAATGATGAAAATCAATGGCTACCTGAATTTGTATCTGGGAGCTATTGAGGGCTACCAGGAACAGTGATCACATATCACATATATTTATATGAATAATTTGCTGCAGCTGCTGATTGGAATGAACTTCTCTTCTTTCTCTAAACCAGTGGTTGACCCTTGATTTGGAAATTGGGGTGTGTGTGTGTGTGTGTGTGCTGGGAAACAATTTGAGCTGGATCCCCAAAATCAGGAGGTAATTTTTTCAAACCCAAACCAAACCTTACAGTATCAGCATCTGCTTTCAGACCCCAAGGAAGCGTCGCTGTGTCCCTGTGAACATCTCCCCATCTTGGTCTCTCTTCGCCTCTAATGGTGTCCACAATAGTAATAACATCAGAGGAAGTCATTGTTCCTAAGAGTTATCCAATTTTGTTTACCTTTATAGAAATTTGATTTCCTGCTTCCAAAATGCATTAGAATAATTAAAGGGTTCTGTGATTTTAGGAAACTCTATCCCAACCCCCCAATCCAAAGTCAGTTACATTTAGTGCAAGGCTGTATATTAGATTACTTTGAGCTACACTAACTTGTATAAATTTCTCCTCAAAAATATTTTACATCTAACATTTAAATTTTATTCCCAGGAATATATTGTGTTTAATTAAAAAATTGATAAGAAAATCTGTTTTCATGTACCTATAAAATTCTTTCGAGTAGTAGCGATTCCATTTGCATCTCATAATTTTAACATGAATTGCACAACTTTGGCATGCATTTTGCTGTAATTCATTTACTGGTAATATAAAAGGTGTCTTTGACATAATATCACAGAATAAACTGGGAATGGATGATAAAAATAATTTGGTGTAAGTCAGGGCCTGCCTTCATAGAGTAGAAAACAGATACAAGAAGATAAAATTGGCCCAAAATCATGTGTTTCATTTTCTGACATTGAAGCCCAACTCAAAAGATTTACATACTTTTATTCTTGAACTTGATGTGAAAATAGTAATTTTTAACAGCACAATTCTTAAGACAGAACAAGTGCTACCCTTAAGAATTGCAGAGTTAGACTTGAAATACACAGAAGGATGCCCCAAATTATTGTCCTCAGTTTTCCTCTTAGGAGAAGGTGACAAATTGACTACCTAAAATCATTGTTTATCCTAATCTTCAAGATGAAATCTACTGCCATTCCTAAAAATAATATAATATTTCTCTTCAAAAGAGAACAAATGGTATTGTGGTTGATTGCCTCTTATCTATTGTGGTTGAACTTGTGCAATAGGAAATACAATTTTAAGTTGCCATTGTGATTTTGTTTGTGAATTTTTTTCCTCCTCAGCAGTGAAAATGTACAAAATAGAGATTTTTATCATGTAATGCTCACTGACAAGGTGAACTTGATACAATATGGGCTTCAGTTTCCTCTCATAGTTTAAGCCTTATTTCATTGGTGAACAGAAGCCTGTGGCGGTATTGAATACATGAACAAATAATGATACTTCCAAAGGTTTAACCATTGCATTTCAAACAAATTCTGCACAGCATTCAGGACTAAGGTGTTGACTTTCTAATTCTGAGATTTTAAAAGGCATGTAGAAATCAGGGTTACCAGTTCATATCTCTCAGACACTTGGCTACATATGTAAACTTCATTCTGTCCTGATGAAAACAAATTCTAATCTATGAAAACATTACATTAAGTCATTCTGCACCTGGTGAGGAAATTATACATGAATGATAATCGATGTTTAAAAAAAGCATTTCAGAGAAAGACCCAGAAAATCAATTTAGACAAAACTTTAAGAAGTAACCTCTTCATCCAAAAATATTACTTTTCACCTAGCTGGTCACACTTACTTACTTTACTTGAAATCATGATCTGGTCAAAGGATAATGCCATAAAACTCAATTACATAATTCAACTGTCTTTAATTCCCCTTTCTCAAAAACAATCCCTTCTAAGGGGGATTTGACTATTCTGTTTTGATTTTTTTTTAAATCAGTCAACATAAGGTGTGAAAAGCTTTTCGCCAGATAGAACTGATTTCATATAATGGAGCACTGACTTTTTTCTTTTGGTTTCTTCAGACAAAGCAGCTCAGTGTCCCTGGGTTCCTCTGATGCCTGCATCTGCAGCCCACTCCAGAGTTAGGCACTCTTTCCGTTATTTTACAAAACAGTCAACATTGTTTCAGTCTGTGAAGAAGCAATCCAAGTGCTTCCTGCCCTCCCCAGCATCCTTCCCCTCACCAGCCTTCTCCAAAATGCCTATATCCACACATGCCTCTCAGGCACCAGAGGTCTGCACACCCATCACATACCAGGTCCATTTCTAACAGCCTGAAGGCTGTTGGAGCAGAGCAGTCGCCTTCCGTTGGCAGCTGGCTGTCATGTTCATCAGCATGGCAGCCCTGGTATGCAAAGCTTAGACTATGGTCTCATGGTCCCACCTGCCTTGGCTCTGATTGATGTAACAACAGTACCTGTCATAGGGGCTGTTCTGCTTGTAGGAGCAAACGATGATACTGTCCTGGGGCACAAAGAAGATGCTGTCCTCCGGCTCAGGGCAGTCGGATCTGTCCCAGGCTGAGCCCTTGACGTCCAAGGCACTGTAGGCGAGGGAACTGCCTGAGGGACAGTAGCCATCCAGGTATCTGGATGTTTCCTCCCGATGCCCACTCTGGACCAGGCTCTGACATTCTCCCTCCTCTGTGGGTGTAGGGGTGGTGATGGAGCTGGCCATGGGCACCTCGCTCTGCCCCTGGGGGAGCGTTTTCCCCCGGAGGCCCCCCTTCTTGGCCAGCTCATCAGAGCTCCCCTTGCCCGACTCCAGGTCTGAAGGGGTCCTCAGCAGTTCCACCACCTCCTTGTCCTTCGGCTTCCGGAAGCAGGGCAGTTTGCGCACCCACAGCAGCTCGTTCTCGGGCCACTTGGTGCACCCCTCGGTTTTCCTGGCCAGGGCAATGGCTGCGATGCCTGGTAGGCAGATGGCCGGCCCGATGGCCAGGAGGGGGATGTTCCCCAGCGTCTCCCCCTTCATCCCAGAGACGGTGAACATGAAACCAAAGACCAGGAAGACACTGACCAGGGCCACCACCAGCCCAGTCCTTGGGTTAATGTCATCAGGCCGCATCTTTCACTCCATCCAGGTTGGGGGCCAGGGAGCGGGCTTCCTCTCTCCTGTCAGAGCCGAAATCACAGTGGGTTAAAAAAAAATCGAAGTTAAGTTTCCACCCACCAACTCTGTCTCCTTCTTGCTCTTTGCTTCAGACTCTCCCCTTGTCTCCCCCAGTCTCTCTATCTTTCTCACGGTTCCTTGGCATTGTCTGTCTCCTTTCTCTCCCTCACTCCCTCTCTCACTATGGAAGTCTACGCCCACCCCCAAAAGAATGCACGTGCCGACGGGGGTCCCCGAGGTACCTGAGCTCCTGGCGGCTTCCGGGAGAAGGGAAAGCAGCTGGGCAGAGTCTCCTTCGGAACCTGCACCACAGCTGCCCCGTGGGTGCGCTCCCCGGGTTCGGGTTCTGGCAGGACAGGCTGGTTCTCCCTACTGACTCTGCCTCCGGGGTGTAGAATGTGGCCGAGGGTGAGTCCAGGCAGAGCCCGTGGGTCCCCGGGGTTCCGGAAGCCAAGCCGCCACCGCGCAGCCCCGAGCCCGCTCTGTGCACGGAGCGCCAGGCGCCCGCTGGAGGGAGGATGGACTTAGTCTGGAGCAGAGGAGCGCGGCGCGCGAGCCTGGCCCCGTTACATCACTGGCACAGCACGCTCGCAACTCCGGAGGGACGCGCGGGGGCGCGAGGGGTCAGATCTCAGGGGGCGGCGTGGAGGTGGGATGGGGGAGTCACCCGGCGGAAGGGGCGGCCCGGGGTCTCGTCGTCGGGTCTCGGCGCACAGCTGCCGAGAGCGCTGAGCTGGGCGGCGGAACCGGAGTCCCAGGCCCGGGAAGGGCTGGGTTAGTACAAGGCTGCGGGAGGCGGAGGCGGGACAGCGAACCCCAGGTCGATTTGCCCACGGGACGGTGGTTGGAATGTCTGTGCCTGGACTCCCTGTCCGCGCTCGCAGATTAGGTGCTAGCAGGAGATGACCATCGGGTACTCGCACCCTTCTCAGCTGCAAACCTGGTGGACCGACCACACTGGCGGCAGCCCCAGAGGTTCCCTCAAGGCCCCTGGCTCTCAGGGCTGCACCCTTCCAGCGGCCAGTGCCCACGGACGGCTCTGGGTCCTGTGCTGGGGGCGCGGCGCGCGGAAGGGCTTTAGCCAGGGGCAGGCTGCTCGGCCAGAGCGTATGGGGCTAACGCCCAGGCTGAGTGGGTGGTGAGGGGTGGGGGCAAGGCCTGGCCTAGGCCTCGCAGGAGTCGCCGGAGATCCTCCCGCTGGCCTTCTACCTGCAGACTCTGGAGAGGGCGTCCGTGGGGTCCTGAGCCCACTTCAACAGGCGTGATGCCAGCCACGCAAACCGGGGCGAGGGAGGAGGGCTCCTGGCCCTGGAGGTGCTCATCCCCGCCTTGACTTGTGGGCAGGGAGCACCGCCCCGCCTTGCAGCTCTAGGCCTGGGCCATCCTCTCGCTTGCTGATGCGGGCGTGGAAAACCCAGATCTTCTTCTCGCATGTTCGTCGGTCGGTGGAGGTGGATGAAGCCCTCTACTTCATGGTCATGGCCAGTACTGGCTGTGATTCTTCAACAGGGCGGCCCGCTAGGGGATGGAAGGGCGCTGGGGAGCAGATGGTGTGGGTAAACTCTTTCATGTCAAGGGACTGCCTTGGGGGAAAGGATTTTGGCCTTCAGTTGTGCCGCTTAATCTAGCTGTGTGTTTCTGAGCAAGTGACTTGAGCTCTTTGAGAATCAGTGGAACTACCTGTAAAATGAGAATCTCGATACCACATACGAGGGAGCCTTGTGAAGATTAAATAAATGAAAGTTCCCAGCACAATTCTTGGTACAAGCCTGTTTGAAAAATAGCTCATCTCTCTCTCTCTCTCTCTCTCTCTCTCTCTCACACACACACACACACACACACACACACACACACAGGTGTATATGTGAGGGGTCATCCAGCAAGTTCACAGAAAATACATATTATGAAAAACTACACATGGATTTCAATTTTTTTTGCACCCGAATAAACTTATCCTTTAATTCCATGTTGCATGAACTTGTGAAGTCCCCTCGGATGTGAGCACCTGTACATTCGTGACATGTCACCATAATCAGTGCCCTCATGCAGGGCAGAAGCCAAATCACCCAGGACCTGTCTGTGGGGCTGAGGACTTTTGCCTTTATCCAGTGAGCGGTGAAGAGCCGTGGAAGTGTTGGAAGCCGGGACTGACACTGACGTGTTCCGTCTTCCACAGTGACACCAGGTCTGGGAGCAGGGAGATGTGCTAGGAAAGCAGTTCAGTAAGCCAGGCAAGACCTGGTGTGTGCCTGAGCAATGCCAGGCTGGGGATAGTGCTTAGGGAGGAGCACCCAGAAGGAGGTTTAAGGGTTGAGCCAAGTGCCTTGGAGCACAGGGAAGAGATGAAGGGAGGGGCCAAGATTGACTCCTAAATTTCTCACTCAGCTGGGGGCATCAGGAGCCAGACTCCTGAGGTGGATGTAAGACCTTGGGTGGGATCCCAGCATCCCATATCGGAGTGCCCGGGTTAGAGTCCCAGCCCCACTCCTGATTCCAGCTTCCTGCTATGAGCTGCAAGCGATCCTGGGAAAGGAAGTTTTCTTATTGATTTTCCAGATTCATTGCTGCTCTGAAAAAGAGTTTCCTTTCCTTTTTTTTTAATAGAAAAAGAGGGAGAAAGAGTATCAGAACAGTGACATTGGGGAAGCTGTATGTACTCCGACTTCTGGAGGTTGGAGGTCGTCTCCTTCTTGGAACCGTCTCTTCCCCTGCCATGACTGTCCCTATTCTATCCTGATTTTCGTCCTAGCTTCTCAGTCACTCATGTGTGGGCTACTTTGCCAACCCCTCAGATACTGATGTTCTGCTGGTCTGTCTGTGTCGCTCCCCTTGGCTGATCTCCCTTCTCTCCCTTCTCATTCTATCATGGGTTCAAACAGCCTGAAGAGGTTGATGGCTCCTCAGCTTCAGATCCATCGTTTTCAGTTAGCTGCCTGGTGTCCCTGTCTGGGTGGTGTACAGACTCCTCCCGCTTACCATGGTGTAAATCCAATTCATCATATTTCTGCCAGATGCCCCCGTCTGCCTCTCATCCTGTCACTCCTGCCATTGCCAGCTAAGAACCTACATCTGATGTCACCCAAGTCACCTGAATTCCTTTGATGATGATCTTTCCTATTAGAGACCCTGGGGAAATCACGTTTTCTTCCTGGGTTTCAACTTCTTGTGAAACAAAGATTTTGGAGGAAGAGTTAGCTGAGGTCCTGTTCAGCTCTGTTTTTTGGCTGTCATTTCTGTAGAGTTGACCTGACGTCAGTGTTGTGTAGAAGCTCTGAAGATAAGTGGGTGCTTCAAAAAGTGCATGGAAGAGCAAGCATTTGGCCTCGCGGCGAAGGTGCCCACATTTTGCCTTAGACTGCCTGGCTCTGTTTCCCAGCTCTAGCTTCTAAATCCAATTTCCTGATAATGCAGAGCATGGGAGCGGTTGTATTAGCTCATCAAGCAGATGGATTCCTGCCGCTCACCTGGGAGACCTGCATTGTGTTTCTGGCTCCCAGGCCTGGTCCTTGGCTATTCTGAGCATTTGGGGAGTGGATTGGAACTCTAGGTCATTCTCTTGCTCTCTTTCTTTCTCTCTCTCTCTCTCTCAAAAAAAAAAAAAAAAAAAAAAAAAGTTTGTGGAAAATGGAATTAAAAGATATGGGGCCGGCATTGTGCCACAGTAAGCTGGGTCTCCAGTTGCTGCACCAGCATCCCATATGGGCACTGATTCTTGTCTGGCTGCTTCTCTTCTGATCCAGCTTTCTGTTATGGCCTAGGAAAGCAGTAGGGCCTTGGGCACTTGGGAAAGCCCTTGGGCCCCTGCACCTGCGTAGGAGACTCCTGGCTCCTGGCTTCCAATCAGCCGAGCTTCACCACTGCTGCCATTTGAGGAGTGAACCAGTGGATGGAAGACCTCTCTCTCTCTCTCTGTCTCTCCATCTCTGTCTGTAACTCTGCCTCTCAAATAAATAAGTAAATCTTTTTTAAAAAGATAATCTTATTTTAGTGCAAAAGTTTTGAAATCCACAGGTAAGAGGGGTCTTCAGAAAGTTCATGGAAAATGCATATTATGAAAAAATTATGCTTGAATTTCAAAATTGTTTTGCACCAACATAAACTTGCTCTTTAATTCTGTTTTTAAATGATTTGTTTATTTGAAAGGCGAGATTACAGAGAGGGAGAAGGAAGGAGAGAGGAAGAGAGAAAGAGAAAGAGAGAGAGAGAAAAAAATGTTCCATCCACTAGTTTACTCCCCAAGTGGGCACAACAGCCAGAGCTGGGCTGATCCAAAGCCAGGAGCCAAGAACTTCATCCAGGGGCCCAGGCAACTGGGCCATCTTCTACTGCTTCTCCAGGTCATAGCAGAGAGCTGGATTGGAAGTGGAGCAGCCGGGACTCAAGCTGGCACCCATATGGCACCCAGCCCACTACATCACAGCGCCAGCCCCTAATTTTGTTTTTCTATGAAGGTTTTGAAGTCCTCTCATGGTGTTGAAAATTACTAGGCTAATCCTCCGCCTTGCGGCGCCGGCACACCAGGTTCTAGTCCCCATCGGGGCACCGGATTCTGTCCCGGTTGCCCCTCTTCCAGGCCAGCTCTCTGCTATGGCCAGGGAGTGCAGTGGAGGATGGCCCAAGTGCTTGGGCCCTGCACTCCATGGGAGACCAGGATAAGTACCTGGCTCCTGCCATCGGATCAGCGCGGTGCGCTGGCCACAGCGGCCATTGGAGGGTGAACCAATGGCAAAAGGAAGACCTTTCTCTCTGTCTCTCTCTCTCTCACTGTCCACTCTGCCTGTCAAAAAAAATTAAAAAATTAAAAAATAAAAAGAAAATTAAGCTTGTCCTAAAGAAGCAAAGTTGCTGACTCCTGGTTGCTTGTACAGACTTTTAATTCCATTCTGACCTTAAAGGCAGGCAGTCCATCTACTTAGGCATTAGATAACACCCAGGCATAAACCACAGGAAACCTCAATTACTGCTTAATTATAAGCCTCCTTCTCAAAGCAATTCCTTCTTGGAGATAATTTCAGCTGGTTGAACAGCAGGTTTACTTGTGGAGGTCAGCAGCAGTAGTGGGTGGGGGTGGGAGACATTGCTCAGAGACACATAGGACATTCTTAGTACTTAGCTTCTTGCCTGTATGGGCCAACTGCAGTAGGATTTTAAAATTTTAAGAGGGTCTTACAATGTTGTACATATTTACAGCTATGTATAAAAGTTCTTCCTTAGAAAAAAGGGAAATTCAGGTTGAAATGAGACTTTAGTATAAGGATATTTCAGGAGGAAACAGAACTTTTATTTTTGAAATTATAAAAATCATGGAATGGTGGCATTTGACACTTTGTAGGATGCCTACTTGAGCTCCCTTATTTTATAAGTGAAATCCAAAAAGGTTTCATTCATTTAATATTATATGAGTGGTTATTATGTGCTTAGCATTGGGCTGGTTGCTGGCAGACAAGTAAAACACAGCACAGTCTGTGTTTATAGAACTCATGATCACAGAGCGAGGTAAGTGTATCGGTTAGGATAGGCTGGATCGAGTGGTATCTCTGGGCCTCCAAGTCTCCATGTTCACACTACATGGCTACTCTGGGCCAACTGTGTCCTTTGCCCATGTTGTCTAGGCTCTGGGATTCAGGTGGACAGAGCAGGCTCCAGTTGGGACATGGGTAGTATTATAGCAGAGGGTCTCAAGAGCAGGGCTAACCGCATGCTGGCTGGGAAAATGTACGCTCTGGATTTGGCTAGTACCCTTATCTCCCAGACCCCTCCTGTGCCTCACTCTGTCATTAGCCAGACTAGCTATCCTACCCTCACGAGAGCCTGGGGTCTTTGCAACAAATTCTGAGCTTCCAAAGGATGAATATGGGAATGTTTGCCTAGCTCCATACAAAGTAAACTGTCTTTGCC